ACCGAGTGTCATTCATCTAAAGAAAAGACAGATCTATGACCTGGACTTTGTGAAGGTTTAAATACATTTATGATCAAACTTGATTATGTAGAGTTTGTATCATTTCTTTGATGCCTACCAAATGTCTTTGAACTCTGTTAGCTCACAGTTAAAAGATTTGTTTCATGTTTTAGCACCGATGTGTTGTTATCACATTTCTTAATATTAAGTTGGCAAAAAGATTTTACCTTTTAAGATTTTATGCCTTAAACTTGCTGACTTGCAGTACATTCACTAATTGTTTATCTGAAGCTGTAGTATAAAATAATTTGATATAACAATGGATTAATTTGCTCTGGGTCATGTGATCTGCGTGGTGATGCAGTCATGTGATGTGACTGGCATCAGTGCTTGGCTCTGTGGACGGTTCTGACGGTTCTGTTTTCATTTTGATCTGCCGTCAGACGCCTGTGAACTCAAAATGGACCCGAACACAGTACACAGGAACCTTTACCTGACAGAAAACAACATTGTGACAGATGACGACGAGGAATGGCTGTATCCAGATCACTCTGAGAGGTTTGAGTGCTGGTACCAGCTGATGTGTACACGTGGCCTGACTGGTCACTGTTACTGGGAGGTGGACTGGAGTGGGCTGGTATCTATAGGAGTGACTTACAGAGGGATTAAAAGGAGTGGTCCTGGTATTGACAGTCGTATTGGTGGGAACAACATCTCCTGGAGTCTGGACTGTTCTGCTGACAATTATTCTGCATGGCATAATAACTCAGTCCGGATCATAGATAGCCCTGCTCCCTCCACTGAAACGAACAGAGTGGGAGTGTATTTGGACTGGTCTGCTGGCACTGTATCCTTCTACAGAATCATTTTTGATACACCAACACACATCCACACGTTCCACTGCAGCTTCACCGAACCTCTTTATCCTATCTTCAGGATACGGTCAGAGTTCACCTATGGTGTTTACAACTCTGTGTCTCTATGTCAGATGGATGCAGAAGACTAGAGACAAACTGCTTTCCTTACACGTTTATTTGAAGCATTTTATAATTTGAATATAACTGACAAACATGGACTATAATGGACTATAACAGACACAAAGTTTTACATCTTGGTTTGGCAGCTGCAAGTCCTGTAAGAAGCAACAACTGAATAGCATTGTTAAGACTGCCAGGAGGATTGTTGGTGCCCCTCTCTCGCCTCTGGAGGAGATCTACAAACAGGGCCGCATACACAGAGCTATCTCCATCATCAGAGACCCCCACCACCCGTCTCATGGCCTGTTCTTCCTCCTGCCGTCTGGCAAGAGGTACAGGAGCATCAGCTGCAGAACCACCAGGATGCTGGAAGGCTTCTTTGCACAAGCTGTGAGACTGATAAATAGACTGTGCCCCCTCCACTCAGCTACTCACACAGCTACACTGTAAGATCCACAATCGGACTGTGATGCCCCCTATCTGCACACACACACACACACACACACACACACACACACACACACAATATACTCCCCAGATACACACACTACTTACTTTAACAACCCCCTTCTGTGAAAGGGCTGCTGCTACCTGTATGAGTGTGACTGTTTAGACTTGTGTTTGTTTTAGAATTTAGATTTTATGTTCTTTATCCCCATTTATTGTTACGATTTTTTACTGCTCTTTTTAAAACTTTTTCTTTTTTAAATTGTATTGACTATTGCACTGTAGAGGCTGGTGAGAAACAGTATTTCAGCCTGGGTAACACCAATGACAATAAACGTGAAACTAATAGACTATAAAGATGGAAAATTAAGGAGAAGAGCATTACAGGACATCCAGGCCTTTATACGTTTAATACATGCCTGTATTGCTGTTTGTATCACTTGGCTTCATGTATAAATAAAGAGAAGGGTATTATCTGCACTGTTTTCAATGACACAGCCTAAGGGAATCATGTATGCTATAAAAACTGTTGGTCGCAGCAGAGAACCTAGTGAAACTTCACACCAACTCTTTTGAAGAAGAGGACTCCCTATTTACTTGAATAAACTGTAAATTATCAGATCGTTATGATTCACTCATGTGTAGCTTAAATGCTGAAATAAATCTGTCTTGGACCATTGTCAGAGCTGTTTGTTGCTGTACGTCTTATTTGCTAAATGCAACAAAATATGGTATTACTCTAATGACATGGCAAAATTAAAATACTAAATAATCATTTTTAAAAATCCATTGCAGAGAAGTTACATTTGGTCAAAGATTTAAATTATTTCCACTTATTAGTGATATCAGTAGGCTCATAAGTCATATTCCTAAACCTTACAGTGAAGGCTGTTTCATCTCATTGTAAGGCTTAAGAACGTGACACATCAGCTTATTGATATTTCTAATAAATAGACATTATTTTGGTAGGTCGCTGACCCCTGCTGTCTCAGTCTGCTTTGCCACTGATGCAGTGGACAAACATGACCGGCAGGGGGCGCTGAGGTAGAACTTGAAACATTTTAACAACAATAAAAAGATGCACATTTAACACGATCATTTCAAACCATGTGACATTCAAACGGTGATTGGTTACATTCAAAGGTTGGAACTTACCTTTAAAACAAGGAAATAAAACTAAGGTTACAACGTCACCAAAGCTGTGCGTTACAGAGCTGATTCAGTCACAGTCCTCATAAGTTCTATTTCCTGTTGAAATGAAGTCAGAGCAGACAAACACGGGCTGATCCCGACATCGACGACAAACTGCTCGTCGTATTCATTATTTTGAAAGGTTTGACCGGAACAGCCTTCTTGACCGTGGTTAACCCGGTGCGGGTCTGACGTGAGTGCGTCGTTTGTGGAGTGTTTGGCTAACCCTCACTCGGGGCACAGAGTGTAACTCTGCCGGTGGAGGGGGCTTTTTCTACCGTCAGGCTAGCCGAGAGCCGTCGGAGCGGAGGCACACCGGGGAAAGACGACGAGTCGGGTCCAGGTGCTGTTTACCGTCCAACAAACCCGGGATCGTTTGTGTTGCAGTGGCGCTTTCCTGGTGTTTCCTGTGGTAAACGCGTGTGCTCTGATGTTTCACGGTAAGTTGGTGCGAAGCCCCGGTGCCTGTGCTCCTCCACCATGCCAGACTCCACTTTAAAATCTTCCCATTTAAGGAGCGCTTGTTGTAGCACAAGAAGTTCACGCGCGTGGCGCAGGAGACACGAAAGTCTGCCTGTTTACGGCTCTTCTCGGATGTTCCCAGTGGTTCACAGCTGGAGGGGTTTATTCGCCCAGCTAACACTGAACGACTTCTTTACTGAGCACGTTTACAGACGGACGACGTCCGTGGCTGGTTTGTGACACAAGGATCACAGCAGGCGTGAAAGGCAGGGTTTGCATGTAGGTGCTGAGCTCCGCTGTGATGTGTGGTTTGGACCAAGAGACTGAAGATGCTCACGTTTTCACTGGGCGTGATGGACAGGGTTGGAGGCAGAGAGGGTTTGGACACGTGCAGTGGAGGGACACCGAGCTGCTGGTGACTCTTACAGTGAACAGCAGAAAGAAGACAATGACTGAATGCATTGACATTGAAATATGCAAACATAATGGCTTTATTCAGCACAGCTTCAGTAATGTTTAGCTGTGGGCTTTGGGGAGGCCAGTCCCTGACTGATTTATATCCAGGGTTGGTTTTGCTGCACAGTCCAAACATGAAGGTGCTTCGATC